CTATCTATCTATCTAATATTATTCATATCTATCTATTTAATATTATTCATATCTATCTATCTATCTATCTATCTATCTAATATTATTCATATCTATCTATCGATCTATCTATCTCATTCTGTCCATATCTATATATATATTTTGTGAATTTTAAACTCAGGTTGTTTTTCTTCAAAATGTAATAAACATCGAGCCATCTATTTCATTTTTTTTTTTTTTTACAATGTTTCCATTATAAACACATTGTTGGGGAATTACTTCAACATATTTTGGTAGGACACTTACTTATGCTGTGTTTTCTGATAAAGAAAGGCTCAAATGTGGTGATTCCTCAAGATTAAACTGCGTAACAATTCAGGCTCTAAACAAACCCCGGGTTTTTCGTCGAAGAAAAAAGGGAAATACAAATTATTTTGTGTTCTAGTTTAGTCTTCCGTACTTTAAACTTACGAACATTAGAATTTGATAATGAATAACGCCATTCGTCGATTGTTACGCCAAACTTTTAAATAATTCTACACAGTTGTTTTATCTATGATGTAAAAGTGTAACTCGATTACAACAGATAAAACAGAGGAACCGTTTTTCATGTTTGGCTCTGAATATCCACAATTAAATAAAGTACTTTTCCCCATACATAGATCTACAGTATTTGTCAATTGATTTAATGTAACGAAGTATCGATTAATCATGGATGTTTGAAGCTTTAAATTCGATTATTTCTCAGTACTTAATGGATTCTATTATCGCGCAATCTGATTGTCGTTAGATATAAACAAAAAAAGATGAGGTGTTTACTTTTCAATTGGTAATAATCTGCCACATTCTCTGTCGTTCTGTACAACCAACAGATTTAACATTTGGTTATCTCAAGGTTTTCATATTTATCTCTTCATGTCGGACAATAAGTATACATATATATTTCCCAGTGTGATATATTAGTCGCAGTTGATTAATTATCTATCTCATTCTGTCTCTATCTATCTATCTATCTATCTATCTATCTATCTATCTATATATATATATATATATATATATATATATATATATATATATCCATCTTTCTATCTATCTATCTCATTGTTCATATCTATCTATCTCCCTTTATCATTTTATTTATATCTATCTCCCTATCTATCTCATTCTATTTATATCTATCTATCTATCTATCTATCTATCTAATTCTGTACATATCTATCTATCTATCTCCATCTATTTCTTTCTCTTTATCTATATTACCTAAGATATCACTCATTCAAAATGACGGGATTATTTATATTTTTTCGACAAGGATCGGTGCATTTTTGCGCACCAAGAATCAAAGTTTCATCACAAGTACACACACACACACACACACACACACACACACACACACACACACACACAAACACACATACTCACACACACGCACATATATATATATATATATATATATATATATATATATATATAATCGAAAGAAATCTGAAAAAACTAGGACTGACTATGAAGGCGTCGTGCTAGAATTCTGAGATCTTGCATGCTATAATTTAAAATCTTCTTATTAATGACTTCATTGTATCTTTTCCCAGCTAAACTTATTTCTGATTTCTGATTTTTCAAAGAACACTTTAAATGCAACTATTAGCGACCTCATCTTGGTTTTATCAAGTAACTAAAAGAAAAAGATTTAATTAAATATTTATCCTAATATTTTAACGCATTGTTTTCTATGATATTTGCAAAACACCTTCCTAGTAGCAAGCTCGTGTTTATATATATATATATATATATATATATATATATATATATATATATATATATATATATATATATCGCCGTCGTCGATATCCGTCCGTCTCGAGAGATGATAGAGTAGCGCGGTGGGCTACGAGCCTGGGCGGGATATATGGAGAACTAGGGCTGCCCGGACGTCTAGTTCCCCCATCTCGGCCTTGCTAGCAGACTTCAAAGGAGAAGATAAACCAATACAGTTTGGTACCAGCGCGGCTGCAGGAGTTGCCGGAAGGTAGCCCAAAGTGACATCCATCCGCCTTAGGGGCTCAACTCTGTGGGTTTGAAGTCAGAGTTGTCCTTCTCCTAGACCAGTTGCCATCCAAGGCTATAGAAACCAGTCTGCATTGACCCATAGCTGGAGGGAGAAGAAGAGTGTATTAGCATGTAAGTGAATGTAATGGATTCGACTGGAATTCGAACTCGGCTCTCTGATTCCTCAATCCAAGCCACTATCCATTACTCCGCCGTGCCTTCGCTTTCTCTGTCTCTCTCTTTCTCTCTCTCTCTTTCTCTCTCTCTCTCTTCTCTCTCTCTCTCTCTCTCTCTCTATATATATATATATATATATATATATATATATATATATATTTAAAGGACCCCACCTTGTCGCCTGTCCGACAGGCGTTACCTTCCTCCGCCATCGCTACTAAGCTCCGCCGTTGGGGTCTTGTTGTTTTTATATCGGAGTTTTCCTTCACCTACCCTCTGCCTCAAGAAGCAAACCCTACAAGGCAATGGCGGGGGATTATTATACCGCCAGCCTACTCGGTCACTTGCATGCATTTAGCGAGAAACAGAGGGGGCCACGGGAAGGTAGCAAGCAAGCGGTTAGGAGGCAGAAGCTGTGGGTGGCTTACGTCTAGCTTAGCCTGAGACGCATGCACTCCAATCACCCCCTACAATGCAACCAGCATCATGGAGGTCGCCTGTTTCGTTTCTCTTTGAGCCGCGGTGGAAGCGATGCTGGCCGAGTGTGTGTGCGTGGCCGTCGCGCAGCCACGATCACTTAAAACAATATCCTCAGCGACTGGCATTCTATCGTTTCTTTTTCTTTTCTTTTCTTTCTTTCACCTATTTTCATTCTTTCACCACCATCATCACCACCCAAGACCTGTGGCGATAGCCCCGTGAGCAACGGGGGCAGGCCTGGAATGCTGGAAGCCTTCAGCCCGTGACTGCACACAGGCGGTGGGTCAAAGATGGTCGCTCTCAGGTGATATTGCCGTGATACCCGAGTTCGGCAGCTGGACCAATGACTGGGCTGGCCTATTGAGGATCACCGCAGCCCACCAGATATGGGGAAGCCCCTGGGAAAGGTGGGGCAAACATCGGACACAGCGACACATCTGGCCAGTTTATCGCGGCTGGCGGACATCCCTCTACTGCGCTCCCAACAATGCAAAAAAGTTTAAACAATGAAACATCCGCACACTTGCCCGATTCAGCATAGATGTGGCGGCCCTCAGCGAGACTAGACTGCCCGAGGAGGGCAACATCAGGGAAGCTGGAACAGGTTATACTATCTTCTGGAAGAGGAAGACCCCCGAAGAGCCGAGGAGCCGCGCATACATGGCGTTGGCTTTGCCATCCGGTCCTAGCTCGTGCAGCAGCACAACCTCGCGCTCCCACGGCCATCAGTGAGCGCTTAATGACTGTCCACATTCCCATCATGCGGGGCAGACACATGACCCTGATTAGCAGTATACGCCCCGACTCTGACTTCACGCGATGAAGACAAAGCCGCATTTTACACCCAGCTCGACCATACCATCCAGAGAGCGACCACCAACGACAAGCTCATTATACTGGGTGACTTTAATGCCCGAGTAGGCAGGGAGCATCGCCTGTGGGAGGGGATAATTGGCCACCACGGTATCAGGAACTGTAACGCCAACGGTCAACTCCTACTGGATCTCTGTGCGAAACATGAACTTGTTGTGACCAACACTTCAGACTCCAGAACCGACAGAAGACAACATGAAATCACCCCCGGTCCAAACACTGGTACATTCTGGACTATGTCCTAACCATATCCAGAGACAGGGAAGACGTCTGCATCACCCGATCCATGCCAGGAGCGGACGACTGCTGGACGGATCACATGCTCCTGATCTCCAGACTATCCACGCGAACCCTTCGACCACATAGAAGGACACCGGACAGGGTACCACACCGACGGTTTGACTGTAGCAATCTGCGCGTCCCACAGCTGGCACTGAATTTTAGAGAAGCCTGCGAACGCCACCTTGCAGACCCAGTGGATCAGGCCTCTGTGGAGCACCACTGAACCAACCTCAGAGAAGCAATGACCCGTGCAGCAGAGGAAACCATCGGCTACTAAAACAAGAAAAGACAGAACTGGTTCGATAAGAGTTCATCTCGCCTCTCATTGAAACTAAACGTCAGACACGTCTGACTATGGAGAACCAGCCTACAGCTACCAACAAACGTGCTCATAAACAAGTCGTAGCTAACTGCCAAAAAGGCATGCGAGAAGCCTAGAACACCTGATGGCAAATAAAAGCAGCAGAAATACAAAGCTACGCTGACCTGCGCAAACAAGGAAATTTTTGGTCCCACACGCTCATCAGTGGGCGGACTAAAGGACGTGGACGGGGCTACAACCATCACAGACAGTGAGGGTATTCTGGCAAGGTGGAGATTTCACTTCGAGAAGCTCCTCAACGTCAACACGCCAGACGATCTCCTGGGAATGACCCCGCAGCATCCTGTCCGTCACTGGATAGCACTACCACCCTCCATCCAGGACTTCAACAAAGCCCTTAAACGCATGAGACCCGGCAAAGCCCCAGAACCCAACAACATCCCACTGGAGCTCCTCACCCACAGTGGCCCCAAGATGAACCGTCTTATGCTCCTTTTATTGAAGATTTGGGAGATAACCCCGCCCCCAGCGACTTCCGCGATGCAACCGTCGTGACAATATTCAAAAAGGGAGACCGTGAGAACTGCAACAACTACCGGGGAATATCACTGCTAAGCATCGCCAGCAAGATCTTCGCCCGCATTCTCCTAGACCGTCTCCTCGTCCTCGCCGAAGATATCCTGCCAGAGTCCCAGTGTGGTTTCGACCTTCCCGCGGGACAATCACCATGATCTTCTACGCACGGAAAATACAAGAGAAGAGGCTCGAACAGCAACATCCCGCAAAGTTCATCTTTTGGGACCTAAAAAAGGCCTTCGATAAAGTACCACGACCTGCTATGTGGGCAGTCTTTACTAGGTTTGGCCGCCCACCCGACTTTGTCACCCTGGTGCGCGCCCTGCATGACGGAATGGTGGGGAGAGTATGCCAACAGAAATACCTCTCGGACCCATTCCCCATTACTGGTGGCCTGAAGCAGGGGTGTGTTCTGGCACCAACGTGTTTCTCTCTCTACACAGCAGCAATGCTAAATGAGATACCACCAGACACACCCTCAATTGACCTCCGTTACAGCTTGGATGGAGGAGTTTTCAACCTCGTTCGACTTCGTTCCAGATCCAAGACTACCATATGTTCGGTACGGGATCTGCAGTACGCTGACGACAATGCCACCCCAGGTCAGACTGCAGAGGACCTCCAGGCATTAGCGGACGCATACAACACGGTCTATGAACGATTCGAAATGTAGGTCAACACAGAAAAGACGAAATTATTAGTTCAACCACCACCTGGACTGACGCTCCCAAACACTAACACCACTGTCAAGGGCTAGAGCAAGTAGATCAGTTCTCGTATCTGGGGAGCATTCTGACATCAACACCCACATGCAGAAAGGGCGTGGAGAATAGAATCAGGGCAGCCCACTCCGCCTTTGGCCGACTCAACTGCCTCATATTTAAAAACCACGCACTGACGATGGCCACCAAAATCATGGTCTTCTGGGTAGTAGTCCTCTCCACCCTTTTATACGCTTGCGAAACATGGACCCTATATAGAAGCGAAGTAAAAATGCTTGAACGCTTCCAGCAACTGAAACTAAGGCAAATCCTTAACATCTCTTGGGAGAGCTACACCACCAACACAGAAGTGCTGTACAGAGCCTCAGTGAGCAGCGTCGAGGCCACTATCATCTACCACCGCCTCCGCCGGGCAGGACACGTCCACAGGATGTATCCTTCCAGGCACCCCAAGAAAATCCTATATGGTGAGCTGGCCATTGAGACCAGACCACGAGGAACACCCAAAATGCGCTACAAGAACCAACTAAAGCACCCTGACACTTACCAACATCAGCTCGTCCTCGTGGAAAGAAACTGCCAGGACCGAACGACGTGGAGGAGATCAATACGCGATATATATATATATATATATATATATATATATATATATATATATATATATATATATATGCACATTTCATTGAATACGACAGACAAGGTGCTTTTATTTAGTCTTTTTTATACAATTTCTCATGCGATCTAATATTTTTTTCTTTTCGCTTTTCCTTAACAAATTAAACAATGTAAAACAAATGCTGATTAATAACGGAATTCCTAATCAATTGTTGGATTAGACTAGACACGTCAAAAGAAAAAAGCTGGGATAAAATAAAATACGAGGCCAATTTTACTAATTTGAGGCTCTCTCTCTCTGGATCAGCCTCGCCTCGCCTATCTACTATCTGCTTCACAATCGACTAGTGGCGCCTGGCTCAACGCAGTGCCCTCTTCATCGACCGGTACCCTTCTAGATGATGAGTGCACTCCGGCCGGAGTCGCGATCCGTCTTGGACTCAAATTATGTGTCACAGCTCCAGATGTGGAGCTTCCCTTGATGAATTCGGTTTACACCCTCTCTCATGTCGTCGTCGTGTCGGCCGCTTTCCACGGCATGCAGCAATAAACGACATCATCAAAAGAGGTCTGGATGCAGCTGGTTTCCCTTCCCAAATCGAACCCGTAGGCCTCGACAGTGGTGATGGAAAGCGGCCGGATGACATTACCATTTTTCCTTTTAAAATGGGGAAGTCGTTGATTTTGGCTGCGACCTATACGGATACATTTTGGGTCAGTAATTTGGTCAGGTCTGCGGTTGAGCCGGGGTCCGTCGCCAGGGACGCAGAGTTAAAAAACATAGTTAAATATTCTTCTTTGCTGATTTTTTTTTTATTCCTGTGGCAGTGGAGACTTCTGGGGTTATTGGCCCTCGTTCGATGGCGTTCCTTCGGAGGATTGGCCGGATTGCAACGACATAATTCCGGAAAATCCTCGTTGAAAACACAACTATACTTAAACATGAAAGCAATAAATAAAAACTCAAAATTCTTGAAGCTATATACATAAAACAGTTGAAACCTAACCTGAACAAAATAAACTACGAAATGTCCACAGGTATTCTTAAAGTCCAATAATTGATAACAGAAGCCATTGGTTTATACCAACGGCTTCCCACACGTAATACTTCTCATTTTCACTCTCACGTGGTCATGTGTGACGTCACGAGTTGTGATGCGATTTTCGCTTCCGCGTCTTGTATTCACGAGTTTGTCGCTGTTTCGAAATTTTTTCATGCAACAAAAACAGACTATCATTATTGTTTCGTCCGTGTATTGGTTGATATATTGAAATGTAATTGTCATCTTCGATTATGGCTTATGTAAGCCGAAAGATTAGATCGCATTTAAACATGTATCAATATGGTGATTTTCTTTCGTCTTTCAATGATAATGTTATTAAGCTGATCAGACAATATGAAAGAACTTACTTAAAATAAATAGACACAACGTGTCTATATTATTTAATGAAACATGCATCAATATATATATATATATGTGTGTGTGTGTGTGTGCGCGTGTGAGTGTGTGTGTGTGTGTCCACATTTCTCTCTCTTTCACTTTCTTACTATCTTTCTCACTTTCCCTCAGCCTTATGAAATATAACATGGTTTTATCATAGTTTTAATCTATCTTTCTTTTTCTTTATGACTCTTTCTTTCTTTCTTTCTTTCTTTCTTTCTTTCTTTCAGGCCTCCTCGCTGGCCACTCATACGTAAAATAGGGAGTTACATTTCAATCACCCAACCGGGGGTAACAGTAAAATTGTCCAAATCGGACAACAAAATAATTATCCATCGCAAAAAAAATGTTTAAAATCTAAAAAAAAATACCCTAAACTAAGTTAGACTCTCTTCACAACTGAGCAATGATGAGAGGAAAAAGATCATTATGACCTTCAGTAATAATACTAACATTCATAATCTGGCTTCCAAACTGGATCAAGAGGTCATAACACGAAGTGAGATTATCATTTCAACTTAGAGATTAAGGGATCAATTAGGATGTATGTAAGTGCGCGTGTGTGTCTGTGAACGTGTGTATATTCTGAATTTTTCTTTCTCTTCGTTTGACTTTCGTTATCACATGCTGTCATCACTTTGGATAATTTTTTTATTTGTGTCATATTCTACAGTACCTATTTTGCAAATTTTCCTCTCCTTTAAAAATTCTTCTACAATATAAAATAAATCTGTTTGACTATCCCTGCGGATAAATTAATTAGAATTAATGCAGTTACTCATATAACAGAATTAGTCTGTATTTATTCAATCGAAGTTAGCCGAGGAGATGAAGGGGTAAAACAGAAAACATGAAGACCCACTTCAGAGCACAATTATCTTGGAGTTTTTGAAATTCAATCTTTCAATGTGCTACCAGGTATGTAAAAGATGATACATTTATAACGCAATTGTTAAGTTTGACGAAAATTAGTTGAAAGATCAACAAAAATTAAGAAACCAGTAAAAATCGCCATTTTTTGTTATTTTCGTGGGTTTTCACAATATGGGTGGACTCAATTATCAAGTTAAATGATTGTTATTCAACTTATTGTTTGCTACAATCGAGTGAAGTTTGTATTAGATTGCTTAAAATCGAGGGAGTTTTTAGTTTGTTGAAATCGTTTTTTTGTATTTTTTCGCGGTTTGTCGCTAAAAGCAGTGGCGTAGAAATAAAAATGCGATATCGTCGAGCTCCTCATCATGTAAGTAACCTACATACCGAGTTTGGACGAAAACAGAGAATAAAGTTGAATTTATCGATTTTTGATCAACTTTATCGATTATTGATTTTTAAAACATTATCGATTTTTTTACGCTAAGAACCTATCTCTTTCATTGTACAATGTATATACCAAGTTTGGTCACAATCGGTTCGATGTATCTCGAATGAAGAGTTATCACACAGACAGCGAGACACACAGATATTCTCTGTTTTATATACGTAGATAATAATATGAGTAAAAGAAAGAAATCAAAACAATTGCATTAAATACAGTTTATTTATGAAACAATCAAACAAAAGAAATGTCATTATATATACTCGATTGGATTTCAAACTCAGCTCTACGGTTCCGCAATCCTAGCCGCTTTTCATTACTCCGCCGTGCTTCTAACGTTTAGCGATTTTATTATGATACAATTTTTAAGTTGGTGATTTCTACATATTTTCGTAATTATAAGAATTTTTAAAGAAAAGTCAATGAGAATTGTACTAATCTAAATGCTCATAATATTTAATTGCACTTTTGAAAGAGCACTTAAACGCATCGAAATGATTGCTTCTTGTCATTCATAATTTATGTCTCGATTAAAAAATTCAGAACAAGAACTTCAATTTGTGACTAACTTTAGTGAATTGAATTACTTACCTAAACCTCGTTGCTTAATCATTTCTCGCCAAGCAAGCCGGGAATGCCACTAGTGCGCACGGGTCACAGGTTATGAAAATCAGAGAAAAGAATTAGGATTGAGGAACAGACAAAAGATGAACGTTGATTCAAGATATAAGGTGGCGGAATATTTTATCTATTTCAATATGGCTTCCACTTTTAGTTTAGTATATTTGGACATCCCTGATAAAATCTAAAGATGAATCTGCAATGTTATTGGTCCTGACCTAATATATCGGCTTCAGCCCTTCCCCAGCACTTGTTCTTTTTTTATAAATATTCCTCTTTCGTACCGAGATTTTATGAATTTAAGCGTCCTACAAGATTGACAAGATGAGGACAATAGTCAGAATAATGAAAATAGTTTACATAATACCTGATCCCAGAAATATAGACAGAATACTGAAAGGCCGAATCCTTGTAATAAATATGGCGACAAAGATGAGAACAATAGTCCGAATAATGTAAATAGTGTAAATAATACATCATCTCAGGAATATAGACAGGTACTGAAGAGCCGAAACGTTGTAATAAATATAGCGACAAAAATGAAGACAATAGTCCGAATAATATAAATAGTGTACATAATACCTCATCTCAGAAATATAGACAGATACTGAATGGCCGAAACACTGTATTAAGTATGGCGGCAAAGATGAGGACAATAGTCCGAATAATATAAATAGTGTACATAATACCTCATCTCAGAAATATAGACAGATACTGAAAGGTCGAAACGTTGTAATAAATATGCCGACAAAGATGAGGACAATAGTCTGAATGATATAAATAGTGTACATAATACCTCATCTCAGAAATATAGACAGATACTGAAAGGCCGAAACGTTGTAGTAAATATGGCGACAAAGATGAGGACAATAGTCCGAATAATGTAAATAATATACATAATACCTCATCTCAGAAATATAGACTGATACTGAAAGGCCGAAACGTTGTAATAAATATGGCGACAAAGATGAGGACAATAGTCCGAATAATGCAAATAGTGTACATAATACCTCATCTCAGAAATATAGACAGATTCCATGAAAGGTTAGAATCCTCGGGACAATCCACCCAATTGTTAATTCGCAAGGTTCTGGAAAGTATAAAATTAAAAAGAAAATATTTATTGGTTCTATTATTTGAATATCTGTTCATCCGCTATACTAATTATATATATAATGTAACTTATACTTATCAACAACTATTATTATTCTTGGTTATCATCCATACGATGTTTCAGTCGTTAAACTCTGCGGAATTTTCGGGTGCCTCTGTTCGCACCAAGCAGTTTTGCGGAAATTCTGAACCGAATCTTGCCTTGTAGTGAGATTAATAAAGGATTCAGTTTATAATTTCAAGACGACAAAAACGTAAAAAAGGCCGAAGGATAAAACAACCGAAACGACGTGTGTATAACAACCTAAACGAGTATATTGGCTGAGAAGCGCAATGATATGATAACGATAAATTCTTATCCCAAAGATTCCGACAAAAATTTACAATTAGCAGGAATTGAACGAAACGATATCAGAACTCGGTTATTGCTCATTCTATTTTTCGCGCCGATAAACCTTTATGTTTACTTACTCAAGTTAATCAAGCTTAAAAAATGGTTGGATTTGATTTTCTCTCAATATATCGACCATTTCGGCACCTTGAATTAAGTTACACTCTCTTTAATAATGGAAACTAGACACAATCAGAATCCGAAACTAAATCGATCTCGCATTCTCTTGTGGTAAAGGCAAGAATAATGGCTTTTACGTATCTTGTCACAAGGAAAATTGGTTGTAGACGAATTTTTTTAAAATCGAAATTATCGATTCAAGGAGAGGATTGATGCCAACAAAATATGTGTTACACTTAATCAAGCCTCATAATATTGATTCCTACCCGAATTTATTCCTAGAATGGCAAATCAAATAAATAAACAGCTAACCAAATAGAAATAAAGTATTGGATCTTATTATGTCTACTTTATGAACCATTTTATCTAAATGTGAATATACTCAAGTCCACGTTTATTATATATATATATATATATATATATATATATATATATATATATGTGTGTGTGTGTGTGTGTGTGTGTGTGTATGTATGTATATGTCTGTGTTTGTGTGCATATAACTATTATATATGTAAAAAAAAAAAAAGAATATACGTACAGGGTGATTGAAAAGTAACATCCTATTTGATGTATGAGTGGCCAGCCAGGAGTACTGACTTGACACCCTTTTCTTTGGGGTTGATTAAAAGATCAAGTCTACTACAATAAACGAAGACTTTGGCAGAACTTAAAGGGCGAATACAAGAAGTTATGACTTCCATATCACAAGAGTTCCTGGTGAAATTAGTTGACGTGATTCCTGCGCGGCTTGAGAAACTGGAATGGGAATCTGGTGCCCATAACGAATTTTAAATAAAACCTCACGCGAAACACTTTCCTCTCATATCTATTTCTCGTAAAAGTTATAGGTAACAAATAAATTATAAGTATTTTGATATGTTGAGTTACTTTTTCAATCACAATGTGTATTTTATATTGTATGTATCTGCGTTCATAATATATATATATATATATATATATATATATATATATATATATATTTCTCCATGGAATGAGCGGCGTATTCGACTGGATACGAAAATTCGGGTTTACAGAGCTGTTGTACTTGCCATCATTTTGTACGGCTCAGAGTCGTGGACTCCATACAGGTAACATATACGCCAGCTACATGTTTTCCATAGAAAGCTGTCTGTGTGCAATCTGCGAAGTTAACCTTCAAGATAGGACATCTAACGTAGACCTGTTTACCAGGTGTAATATTGGAGGAATCGAGAGTTTCTTCATACAGTCTCAGTTACGGTGGACTTGTCATGTCTTGAGAATGTCTGATGACAGGATACCCAAGATCCTAATGTACAGCCAGTTAGATCAGGGATACAGGAATGTAGGACGTCCATGGTTAAGATACAAAGAAAAGCTGAAAAGCAACTTGTCAGCAGTCAATATACCACATAACACCCTTGAGCGCTTAGCCTTGGAGTGGATAGTATGAAGATCAACGTGTTTTAGTGGAATCAGCAGTTTTCTATTTGCTTGTCTGAATCATCTTCAAGATGCAAGAGCAAGATCTAAAAGGTCAGCCAATCTAACAGTGATCTCACCACACAATCCTCACTCTTGCTACATATGTGGCCTCCTTTTAAATCACTAGCGGGTCTTAAGTGCCACTTCAGATTATCGCACAAAATTTCATAACTCAATCAACTAAGCTGTCAGATCCTCATACGTCAAAACCGACGACAGAGTCCATT